AGTTGGTTACCCTCTTGAGTCATTTTCCCCGAAAAGTTAAATGAAATTAAATTTGCAAAATTATCAAAGATTGCAACCTTCTTTGGCTATAACGTATATGAAGAGCGTTTCAAAGGGGTAACCTTGTTAAAACATGGTCTACGTTATGCTTACTGTGGTTAACTGTCAACATCTCTCTGCAAAAGGATATGATTGTGTATGAGAGGTATATTTATCAGCATAAATGTTTACCTCAAGGTATATTATGGTGATGTGTCTACAAAAGTAGCATGATATTGTACGTATTGATGTTGTATCTTATCCCATGAATTCAATCTTAAAGCTAAGTAAACTCAAAAATCACAGCACTTGTGATTCCCCCTCGTTTGTAGACTTGTCTAGAATCCATGATACGATAAATCATTTGATTGGAAATGTAAATGTAGCCATGAAATGCGTCTGATTAGTCAAGATTTCCCTAATAAATAGTCAAGTGCATTACAAAGTTGTACATGTATGAATAATGTTTTTTCGTGGGTTATGTTTTGAAGAGAAGCAAAAATGAATCTCATAAAGTCATTAATATCAGTAGGGGATGACGTGAGATTTGCTGTAAATGAGTAAAGGGAAAATGAATCAGGAGGGTAACTAATTGTTGCATTTGTTCTCATTTGGTCCCTTTCCTTTTTTTTTTGTACTCAATATACCATCAAACTTATTGTTTGTGTTCACCGTAACCCTTTGAGCGGCTATCACAGGTCAAAAGGGTTATGATGAACGCAAACAACAAGTTCGATGGTATATTGAATACAAAAAAGGAAAGGAACCAAATAAGTACAAACGCAAAAGTTAATTACCCTCAAGAGTCATTTTCCCTTTTAGATTTGATTTTTGTATTTTGATTTCCTAGCTTCGACGGAGGAAAATGATTGTCCTTTTATAGGGGATTGTATTTTGTTGATAACATTATTAATATGACAGGACATTCAATCATGTTTTCTTAGGCTGGAGGGAGTGGTGCCACCGAAACCGCACTCCCTCCTTCGTCACGTAGGCGCCACGTCACTTTTTACCACTTAAGTGTGGTTTCTTGCCACACCAAGGGTGTGGTGCCACAGTTTTAGTTTTATTTTTTTTTTCCCTTTTTTTGTTTGTTTTTTTTTGTTAACTATTTTAATTTAATAAAACTTATTTTTTTAATAAAAAAACATAATTTTAAAGACATAATATTTCATTAATTAAAAATACAAATACCATACATTACTTAATTTAAAAAAAAAAAACCTAAAAATTTAGAATAACAAAGTAGAAACAAAAAACCAACAACTTAAAAAAACACACAAGAAACCATTAAAAACTTGAAAAAAAAAACTAGAAATTAGCCACGATTCATGTAACGGTTTTTCACTTCCTCCTTCATCGCCAAAACCACTTCAAGCTCGGCCCCAGTCATATTCGACGTGTCCATTGCTAGTATTCGCATGTCGCTCTCCCTTTGTTTCCGAAGCTCTCTTTCAGAAGCAATTTTCAAAATCTTGTCCATTCTCTCTTTTATATCCTTCATGTCGGTTCCCATTTCTTTCAAATCATTTAAATCCAACGCTTTGCCTTTGCCTTTGCTTTTTGATTTGTCTCTTCCCAATGGTCGGGAAGGTGGTGAAACTGGAACAGGTTCATCTTCGTTCAGATCAAACTGAACACGAGCATCTGATGTAGTGTGGTCGGACTCAGATGTTCTGCTGCGATTTGACCCACTGTCGATATGTTGGTCAGATGTTTTGCTACTCAGCCATTTCCTGTTATCTTTCAAAAAATTCCAAACTTCAAGAAATTTGAAAGCCTTCAGATTTTCTTTTTGATACACTTTCAAAGCTTTCTTCAAAATGACATCATCGCTTTCTCCACTTTTCCATTGACGTTTCATGTTATTCCACAAGTCATTAAACAACATGACTTCCTTATTCATCTTCCCCCATTTGGAGTACACTTGATGTTTTGAACGGTATTCTCCACGGTTCATTCCTTTATGGAACCTGTGTAAAACGCATATCCAAAAGCGGTCATGCTTTTGGTCTTTTCCAACCGTCGCATCTTCTGAAATATCGATCCAAGATTGTGCCAACACTAACGCTTCCAAAGGTTCCCAACATCTAGCCTCCACCTTGTCTTTTCTTTTAGTCGCTGCTTGAGTGGGCTGAGTTTCTGTAACGAATTCCAGTTCAGAATCAGAAACAACCGTTTCTGGTTGTGTTTGTGTTTGTTGAACAAACTCGGGTTGGGATAAAAAATCAAATGGATTAAAATCCGGGTCGGGTTGTGGTAGTGGTGGTGTTTGTGGATGTGGTTGCCCCGGTCGTTGTGGAAAAGAAGGAAAGATACCGCCATAGTGGTAATAAGGAGGTGAAAAAATCGGTTGATCAAATGAAGGTATTGGGGTGTTGGTGTTTCTGACTGGTGTTTTTTCTTTGCTAGGTCTTTTGGAAGAAGACATTTTTTCAAAGAAAATTGGATGAAATGATTGTATTTATATGTGTTTAAAGGTTGTGTAAATGTAAAAGTGATAACATATGTATATATAGATGGAGTAAAAGGTTAAAAAAAAAAATTTAAATTACACGAATCTTTGAACGGTCAAAGAAAAAGGAGTAGCCAATCAGCAAACGCGGTCCTCAAAAGCCGCAGTGCGGTCTCGACCGCCCCAAACCGCACCCTAGGGGCGGTGTTCCTGTCCCACGTGGCGCAACCGCGGTTTGGAACCGCATACCATACCGGCTAGTCTTAGTTTTTATACAAATACCAATGTTTTTTTAGGTTTTATCAAAAGTTGAATAAGATACAAATAAAACTAAATGTTCCTCTACTCCATCTTTTACAATATGTTTTTATTTTTTTGGTTGTGGTTCTCTAAATAAAAGTGGATAATTCTAATAAACTAAATAATAATAGTTTTTCCTTCTATTTCTTGGTTGGTTGTTTTAGTTATTTAGAATATGTTTTGAAATTCGTTTGATGGTTGTATTCAAATGAATTTTTGTTATTCAAATGAATTTTTGTTATGATGTTTATTCAGTTGAATAATCAATTTTATAGAAAACAATTACGCTCAAGTTTGGAATATATCGAAAAATAATCAAATATATTTCTACTTTTAATAAGCATTTAAACATAAGTAAATATTTGTTTAAGTTATGGTTTCCTTTACTTATAAGACTCCAAATTCACTTACTTTTTAACATTATTATTTTACAAAATGACATTCATTTGCAAAATGTTAGCATTTTTACACTATCATTTCAAAAACTATATTGGAACACTTAACAGGGACCAAATATTTGGTTCTAATCTTACTTATAATAATAATAATTATCATGGGCCTATCCATCAAGCATGACAACATATAGAGTTAGTGAACATTATTTATCTTTATGTTTGTGAAAGAAAGTATGATTACTGTTAATGATGCCAAGTTTAACGGATGTTATATTGTTTAGATTCTCAGGGAAGTATGATTCAATATATCTGAGATAATCCACCTCCTTACACTGTCGAAAAGAGCACCGTTGAAATTCCATTTCCAAATGGAAAAAATCTATAACGAATGCACCTCTACATGTACAGAATAACATTTGTGATCTCGACCACATCTCAAAATCATCTTCAACAAAACTTCGGAAAAGATCCATGGTTGATGAAAAGGAAAATAGTTTTTCAATGAAAAAAAATTAAAAATGAATCGGTTTTAAGAATGAGAAACAATGATTTCTTTTAAGACAAAATTACACAGATGGTCCCTGTGGTTGGTCCGAGAGACCAAAGATAATCCTTATGAGGAATTTTGGATGAGTATGGTCCCTGTGGTTCCAAATTGTTGCACGAATAGTCCTTATGACATACTCAGTTTAATTGTTTCCATTTATCTAAATCACGTGACCCTCATACGAGAGTATTTTCGTCTTTTGCTTGTCCCTTCTCTCTCATGATCTGCAAAACATTTCCCTTCCATATAAAAATTAAACCCCCATCAATTCCTTCATTATTTATCGTCTCCTCTATTCTCTCTTCTCCCTTCTCTCTTCTGTGTCTTTCTAAGAAACTTTGCTTAAGAATGGTAAATTGTTTTTGTGGAAGGCAAGCGGTGATAGTGACATCATGGACGGATCTCAACCCAGGGCGTAGGTTTTGGAAATGTCCTAGCAGTTGAGGTTTCATTGCATGGTTTGATGAGCCCATGTGTCGAAGGGCTGTAGCTGTCATTCCAGGTTTGCTAAGATCCATGAACAAGCTTCAAGAATCTCTGCTGCAAGCAAGTTTTGAAGCAAAAAAAGTGAAGATGATGCTAGTTTTTAGTTGGGTTTTCTTTTTCATGTATGTGTACAAAAGATGCTAATAGTATTAGTCTGGAGATGATGGTTCTTTTGCTTGTGGGTAGATAGATGATGGTTCTTTTGCTTGCTTCAAGAATCAGATAATAGTATTAATTTGAAGATGATTTCGTTTTGTTTGTTTGTGATGTAAGAAATGTTCGTATGTATGAATGGAATGCTTTTTATTTGGGAAACTTTTAGTCTACAACCATTGAAAAATATTGGTCTGGAACTTAATGATTGTAAAATATTGGTCTACAACTTAATGAACTATCCAGATCCATTAAAGTATAAAATATGAAAGTGAAAGGTTTTTGTAGGGTTTAGACCATTGTAGTATAATGTGTAAGCCATTGTAGACCCATAACAACATTAGAAATGTTCAAAAATAAAATGCAAACTTTTGCATAGTCATAAAGTTCATTACATAACCTTAAAGTGCAAAGTCATAGTACCAAAAAAATATCAAAAGAGCTTGCAGACTAATGTATCATAACCAAAAGAACCATCTTAGTCTAGCACCCTAATGTACCATAATACCAACAAAAGATAAAGACACACAAGAACCAACTTAGTCTAACCTTTCTAAGGTACCAAAACAAACAACACAAAAGACATTTCTAAGGTAGCATAACAAACAACACAAAAGACAACAAATCAAACTTTTTCCTTCATTTTGGATTTATCCTTAAGTTTGGTTTTCTCATTTTTGCGATCTCCCTGCTTCTTTGCCTTGCTAAGCTTCCTGCCCCCTGCCACCACATTTCTAACTTCATTTTGTCCCCCTTGTCCCTTGCAACTCCTAGAGTTGTGACCCTTGTTCTTGCATTTGCTACAAGTAACTGTAAGGAACTTCCTGGTCAAACTTTTACCTTCATTATTTGGTTCTTCAGTTTGAGCTCTCTTTCTCTTCTTTTTTGGTCTCCCCGCCTGCATAATTAATAAATTATAAAACAATATAAACATATACTAACTTGTAAACTGAAAATTATTTACCTGTTTAGTATGCTTGGGGGGTGTTAGTGTTTTGGGGCAATCTGACTTTGGCGACACACTTCTTCCATTGATTGGTTGAACTTTGTACTTGTACATTTCATTCCATGTGCTTAACCTATAACATGGATGTACCCACTCCTCAAGAGGTGGGACATTTTTTTCCCCATGCTCAACCTTATCCCAAATGGCACTAACAAGATGAGAGCATGGTATCCCAGTGATTTCCCAATTCATGCAACTACAGTTCCTGTCCCTCCAATTAACCACAAATTGTTCCCCCATTGTCCCAGTAACTTGAGTCTTCTCAGCACCATTAAATATGCAAGTGTATTGAGAAGCAGCTTTCTTAACTCCATCTAAAAGTTTTATGGTTGTTGGGGTAAGTGGCCCTTTAGACTTATCTATCACATTTTGCACAATACAAATTCGTTTCATTAAGTATTCCCTAATATATTCTAAACATGTAATTATAGGTTTGTCTCGAGCATCTAACAACTTTGAGTTGAAAACTTCACACAAATTATTCAACAAAATATCCGTATGTGCTCTTCCTGTACATTGCAACAAAATATCTTATAAGAATCTGTCAAAGTGTAAATCTTCCTTGAATCTGTCAAAGTGTCTAACTATTATATATGGTAAATATACCTGAAATATGTGCTCTGGCCCAATGTTTGGGTGGAATTTTCTTTAACCAATCACATGACTTTGAGTTGAACTTGTTAAAATCTTCCATGAATCTGTCAAAGTGTCTAACTGTTGTTGCTGTTGCACATTCCCATAAATGATCTCGGTGATCCTTCCCCCTCCATTGTAGCTTCATGTTTTCGTGAATATGTCTTAAACAGAACTTGTGTTCAACGCTAGGGAATAGGTTGGCAATGGCAGGTAAAATCCCCTAATTAACAAGTAACAAAAATGTTATTTTCTAAATGTAGCAGACAAAATTACACAGATGTCATGAACAAGTATCATAAGAAGATTAACCTTTTTCCTGTCAGAAATAAATGTGAAGTTAGAATTTGTAGAGAGCTCCAAATCTTCACCTAGACACTCTAGAAACCAACTCCATGAGCTTTTGTTCTCGGCTTCAACTATGGCATATGCTAGTGGGTAGATCCCATTATTGGAATCAAGACCCACAGCAGTGAGAACCTGTCCAGGGTAAGGTCCCTTCATGAAAGCCCCATCGAATCCTAAAAAATCTCTTAAACCTGACTTAAAACCTAGTTTTAATGCACCTAAACAGACATAAATTCTCTTAAACATCCTAGTTTCCAAGTCTGCATTTGGTTCACTGTATACATCAATCTTCACAGTTGTTCCTGGGTTGCACTGTTGTAATTCTAGTACGTAATCCCTGAGAAGACTGTACTGCTTTTCATAATCTCCATAAACATGTTTCTGTGCAAGTTGTTTAGCCCTAAAGACCTTCATTCTTGACATCCCCACCTCGTATGTCTTTTGTAACTCTACACGCAAAGCTTTGACTGGGATAGTTGGGTTTCCTTCCACTTGTTGAAGAATGGTGGTTGCAAGAAACTTAGAAGTACACGCTTTAATATATCTTGACTGCACACATCTATGCTCATGAACCAAAGTTTTCACCATCCAATCGCTTTCTTCATCAGATCTAGAAATTAATACCACCCAAGGGCATGTTGCTTTTTGTGAACTGACTGTTTTGTCCTTGCATTTGATTCTACTTTTTATCCATGGCCCACCTGTCATTTCCAGGACCACACCCCTACATTTTGCCCTAATTCTTTGTTTATCATGTTTTGCAAAGTAAATGTTTCTCCTAGTCCGAATTGAATGCATTTTAATGTAGTCCTTCGCTTCTGATGAGGACTTAAATATTTGACCTAGATGGAATGCAGTTTCATGTACTACTCCTGATGAACACATGGTTGGTTTGTTTAACCTTCTCATTAACTTCTTCCTCTCATCTTCTTCTACACCAGCTGATTCAAACAACTGTGTATCTATCACCTCCAAATCCTCATCAATTGTGACATCAGGTGCATTGAATGATTGGTGGTTATCTAGATTTGGAAAAGAATAAACACCACTGTGGAAGTCTTTCATATTCACTTCGACATCCTCCACTATATTAATTTCATTCACTAAAAAGTCACTATTGTCGCTTATACTTCCATTGGTACTAGTCTCATCACTAATAGCATCTCCAGTTTCTTCATTGTCCCCCATCTGTTGGTAATCATCGTCCCCCATCTGTTGGTAATCATTATGATCCATATAAAAGAAAGGATCAAAGTCTTCTGAAGGGCCAACATCTTGGGCTTTGTTAAGCTCCTCACTTGCAGGCTGAACTCCAACATCTTTCAATACATCTCTATCAAAATGTCCAAAAGGTACAACAGACCTAGAAAAGTCATAGTTCTCATTCAAGTCCAATTTTCTACTACATGATCCTACCTCTGTACTTGTAAACTTTTTTTGATTGAGTTCCGAAGAAATAGGCTCATTGATTTCTTCCAATACGACCTTATTTGGAGACATAAAGTATGTATGGAGTCTAGTAGTTCCATGTTCAGGATACACCATAATCTCTTTATGATTAGCAACATGCTTACTTAACAAAAGTACGTCTGAGTCGTTACCTAAAGGAAGTAACCCATAATCGATTTCAATATCTGGAATCAAGAAGTGGTAGTAGATAGGCTCACCGTTGATATAACCTATCTCCTTCATCATATCGTCTAACTCATGTACGGAGAACACGTCCATGTCTACATAGTCAACATAGTCAATACTCCCACCAACGTAACGTCTTCCTGGGTATTTTGTGAACATACCCCTATGGTGAATCTTGAATGTGCAAAAACTACTTAACTCAACTGAAAAACAAATATATAATGATGTGAGGAAAGAATGAAGTCTCAAAATTGAATGTGCATAAATTACTTAACAAAATTGGAATTTGTTAACTGATCACTCACCATAAGCTTTGATCACGTCAGGATTTTCTGAAAATTTTGAACGGACATTCCACAAAGTTAGAACCATCGCAAAAGATGAAGATGAAAACCCTAGTTTCCGTTTGATGTTTTGAAGTGATGAAGAAGATAAACCAGAGGAGAAAAGGAAGGGACGATTTCTTGGGGTAACATAAATGGCAGCTAGATGTAAGGATCATTTATGAATATGATCATTTCGTGTAACAAAGCAAAAGACGAAAATACCCTCGTGTGAGGGTCATGTGATTTAGATAAACGGAAACAATTAAACGGAGTATGTCATAAGGACTATTCGTGCAACAATTTGGAACCACAGGGACCATACTCGTCCAAAATTCCTCATAAGGACTATCTTTGGTCTCTCGTGCCAACCACAGGGACCAACTGTGTAATTTTGTCTTCTTTTAATTTGATTTTAATTGTCGGCATATCCTATGTTTTTTAATCTAATACTATTTGGTTAGATTCTTTTTTACTTTGGTATATTTTTCCATTTTACATTTTTTCTTATAATTATGTATTTGTCTATTTATGAACTATAATATGAGATTAGAAGCTTAATTGATGTCCTAAAATATGACAAATTGGAGTAGACTAGAGATATTCAACCGCCTTTATCTATACTACTAAGCATGCAACAAATATATAAATCATTTTTTCTTCTTCTATTTTATATCCAGTTAATATCTTATATTTGTCGTGTTTTATTGTTTTCATAGGATTATTATATGAAATTAGTGGTAACTAAGGATCTAAACAACATTTTTGATAGAAAAGGAGGAAACAAGCGAAATAAGCAAAAATAGCTTTATAACGCAAAAATGTGTGATTTTCATGTACACCTCGAAAGACACGAACTATTATCAATCGAAGATAATTTGCTTCATTAAGTTTAGCTTTCAATATTTTGAATTTTCGTTTCAAATATATATATATATATATATATATATATATATATATATATATATATATATATATATATATATATATATATATATATATATATATATAACGTTAGGTTCATTTGAGACCACCTATATTTTGTGAGACCGTGAGACGCATTTTTTTATTTTTTTTATTTTTTTTATTTTTTTAGTTAACTCATGTTCCGAAAATAATATTTAAAAAAAGAATTTTTTGATTTTTTCATTTATTTTGCATTTTAAAATTATTTTTAGAATATGTACAGTTTAATATTCTATTTAGAATATTTCACGTATTTTTCAAAAAAAATAGAATTTTTTTATTTTATTTTTATTTTTTTTAGTTAATTCAAGTTCCGAAAATAATATTTAAAAAAAAAATTTTTAGATTTTTCCATTTATTTTGCATTTTAAAATTATTTTTTAGAATATGTCAGTGTAATATTCTATTTAGAATATTTCACGTATTTTTCAAAAAAAAATGGAATTTTTTTTATTTTTTTATATTTTTTTTAGTTAATTCAAGTTCCGAAAATAATATTTAAAAAAAGAATTTTTAGATTTTTCCATTTATTTTGCATTTTAAAATTATTTTTAGATTTAGTCTCACGGTTTTACAAAATTAGAATGGTCTCAAATGAACTTGAACCTATATATATATATATATATATATATATATATATATATATATATATATATATATATATATATATATATATATATATATATATATATATATATATATATATATATATATATATATATATATATATATATATATATATATATAAACCTAAACGAAACTGGTATCTTATTAGTTTAATAATTTTTTATTAATCTTTTACGTGTGCTTAGAACGTAGTAATGAATAAAGAAAAGAGATGAAGGGCTAGCATTGTAACTTCCTTTTAAAGCAATACCCACAATTTGCGTTCAAAATGGGTTTCTTCGGTTATAGAACATAATAACGTAAGCGCATGATTACGAATGATTATTTAAGTATTTAATGTGTAATTAAATATGTGAATACGTTTCTTTTGGGGACTGTACGCCACATGAAATAGAAAGATCGCCTTCTTTGGGGATTGATAGCATCGGCAAAAAATGAAGCGAGAGAAAAAAAAAGATCAAGTGATCAACATCGCATGAAGTACGATCATTAGAGGTGGATACAGTCAAATATGTTCAGATGTTCTAGCGTTTCCATTTTAATGATCAATTTGGATTAGCATGTAAGGTTTCTGCAATATCCATTAAACTTGGCGCAAGAAGTTCGAGATATTCTGGTGATGAACATGGGAGCCACAGCAACAATGACATCATTCGTGTTCTATGGTGTTGTCCGGTGAGATTTCCGCCAACATTAGGGAGAGAAGGAGCCCGTTTGTATGTAAACTGACTGAAGTATCAAGCATGCGATCGAAGGAGACATAAATGTTCCTTCCATAGTATTTTAGTAGTACGGGCTACATGTATCCCGACAACTAGCCGAATTTCAACACTTCGTTTAGTTGATCTTGTAAGTGAATTTTCAAGCAAGAAGTGTGAGACAATATTGGGTTACCCGTCACCAGTTTCATGATGAATTTTTGGTGACATACATAGCTTTGAAAGGGAAAGTTCTCTTAGTCGATAGCATGACACAATTTGGCGATGAGAAAATATAAATCCATGTTGCGCATGCGGTATGTGTCGCAACTATCTGCAGGTGGTTCTGGTTAATAGCAAAAGAAAACTGACGTGGCTAGCTAACCTTTTGAAGATGGTAATACGTAGTGTTTTACTAAACAATTGTAACTTGGTTTGGATGTTATTTTATTAATTCCATAATACCATAACCACATTGGCAGATTAATTCCATCAAGAAGCATGGATTATTTCATCATCAATACATGGCCATATTTTGGATTCCTATCACAATTAAGATTCCACGACTAAACTAAATGCAAGATAATAAATTATATTATTATTAGGATACAAATAAGTATAATCATGTTTTAAAATGAGTTTGTGGTTGATATTTTTAGTTATTTATTTTAGTTCCCAATTTAAGCCAAAGACTAAATATAAATTTAATTATGGTTTAGGATGTTTGATCTGGTTGCCGGATTGTCGGTCTTCCTCTGTTCATTGTCCAACATTCGTGGATTTAAGGTGAGTCAACTTTGTAGCTTTAGAAGTACATGTTAGTTATTTTCATAACCAAAACATAAAACAATGGAAACACAATTTTGGATATTTTATCTTGAATCTAATTAGAAGAAAACTTAAACATTAGAATGATTACATACCTTATTCCATAGAGATTTTCGAATCTAGAGACTAGAAAGAGTTTTCCAGTTGATCTCAAGAACTATCTCTAAAATCCCTCAGCAAATCCTAAACGAATTTACATGTGTATTTTCGTATGTCTTGATATGCGCCTCATCACATATATTTATAGATGGAGATAAACCCTAATGTGAGAGATGGAAGGGATATTGAGGATATTGAGTCAAATCAGGAACTCAACCCACAAGGTAAGTAAATATTCCATAAATCGGTCCATCAATAATTTATACTCTTACCATAATAATTGGATTTAATAATATATCGTACATATTTAATGAATGTTATTATAACATTGGTACCCTTAAACAACCTCGTCTACTAATCATAATAATATAGGATCAAAGCGGTCTTTGTTACAATTTACGTAACAAACCTATCAATGGACACATATACATATATAACTAATGACATAGATTAAACATGATGTGTGGTTTTAAAATCTAAATAGATTTCCAACGAGTTCCTCTTTAGATTGAAGTGCGATCAAACTTCAAATAAGTGCAACTAATAATGGAGTTAACTGAATTCTTAATTCTGTACAGAAAAACATAATTGATCTTAAACAAAACATAAAGCACCATAAAACTTCCACTAAAACCAAATATCACACCAACGTGTGTAGTATGCTCATGAAAGACCTAGGGAGGTAATCCCTTTATGAGCGGATCCGCTTTCATGGAGTTTGTTCATATGTGCTATATATATTTCTATTTTGCAGTATTGTGTTAACAGAAGGAAACTTGATGTCAATATGTTTTGACTTAATAAAACTTCTGTTGTTGGAATATAACATTGCTGACTTATTATCACAACTTTAGTAGTCTTTCAATACCAATAATGTGTACCCTCGTGACAAATTCTGCAACCCTATTCCATGCTACAAATTATGCTGCCATTATGGAAGAAGCTACCGAAGTCTATTCCATGAAATGGTTTATCATGCTAAAATGTAAAAGTATCCTGATACGGATCAGTAACCATTTTGGCATCTAATAAAATCAAATTCTTAAAAAAATGATCTCCAAAACATCTGAATTTCCTATAGTTGAGCATATAGACTTTTGTTATATATAGATATCTCAAATCCATTTGGTTGCTTTCTTATGATCCAAACTTGCGTTGCATAGATCTGACTCGCCGAGTTGTAGAACAACCCGTCGAGTCTAAGGCAATCTTCATCGGACTTGCCGAGTTGCTCATCCAACTCGTCGAGTCCAAGGCTATCTTCATATGACTCGCCGAGTCAAGCTTGTGACTCATCGAGTCCATTCAGTCCCTTTTCCATGCAGCGGCTCTAAGTCACAGATCTATGCTTCTAGGGCATGCTTATCACATAAAGTTGCAAACTTTACATGCATGCATGGCTTTAATGGCTTCAAATGCCAACCCTAAGCTCTCAATGGGGTTCCAAGCTCATGAGGGACTTCAATCATGATCTTAACTGAAACTTTACACTTCTAGAATGCAATAAGAGTCCAGATTTGAAGTTTTCATCCAACGAGAGTCCATATCTCAAGTTTTGAATCATAAAAGGCTCCAAAGAAGGCATAATAAGCATAAAGGAGGTTATAATGGAGGAATGCACAAGGTCATAACTTCATTACCTGAATGAAGAACAGATGTAAGCTAACTCCTGGATCTTCCTTCCCTTAAATGGACATTCTTTCCTTCCCAAAGCTTACAAGATATCACAAACACACTCAAACTCAACAATAGGGATATGGTTTACAGAGGAAATGTTCTGAGAGTGATAGAGGCGAGTTTGGGGGCACATAAGTGTGTTTAAATAGGGTGC